GCCGTTAGACGCAATACGCTTGAACTTTTATCTTTCCGTTATTTTGCGCCGTTGTTAGAGATGATGTGAATTTTGGGTTTTCTTACAGTTTGATGATCAAACACAGCGATGGTAGTCAATATCAAACGAAAATCAATTTGTTGAAGAAAGTATTGAATATCATCACCAACGTATTGCATTTGGATCACGAGGTTGTTTTACTTTTTTTTTTAAGCTTGTTAGTGGTAACAATTCTTGTTTCACAGCAAAGCTTGTGAAAAAAGAAACTATATAATCAACTTGATTTTATTTTGATAGAGCCTATCGTTAAAGATATAAAATTCCTGCTTGAGATATCTAATGCAGGCCGTAGGTAATGTTAGCCGCCATTGTTATGATTAATTTTCAGTGGGATTTCAGCAAATTAAGCTGATTACTGAAAAAACATTGCTCGTATTCGATTTTTCGCTTGTTGATCTGCCATCTTTTACCCTTAACAGTTTACTGATTTTGATCTGCACTTGAATCATTTTATAATCCAAGTTTTTTCTTTTTACAAGCATTGTCTCGAAAATAGTTTGCAGTTTAGGTCCGCGGTACTGATTTTCACGCAATGCCATATCAGCGTATCCTAATCATCATGTTCAATGAACTTACCGCTCCCGACCCTGCTTTGGATGTCATTTCATGGCATATATTAGAGGCTTTCGGGTAATATTTTGTAAGATTACTATTCATTTCAATTGTTGTGGTCGTTGTCTGAACAACGGTTAGAATGTTGCTCAATATTACAGACAGGCTTTATTTATCCTACAGCCACGACGAGTTCCGGGTTTTGCTTATGCTTGGCTAGATATCATTGGACATAGAAATTTTATTGGGCGGCTATTGAAAGAAAGCGCCGAACCAATGAAAACAGCTGCCATGTACACTCAGTTGATTATATGCCATTTGAAGTTTTTGGCTCCATTCTTGCGTAATATTCAACTTCCAAAATCAATTGCCATGATGTATAAGGTATGATTCTTTATTTAACTTGTGCTCTATTACGAAGGTTCCCTTTTTAAGCCCATTATGTGTACTATCTTAACTGATCTTCTGTTACCTGGTTCAAGTCTTTGGAACGAGTTGGACGTCACGTTTCGGAATACGACAATCTTGTAGTAAGGGACGACAATCTTGTAGTAAGATGATGGTGCATAGGAGATGAAGCACTGGAGATTCATCAGTTGTCATTTTTAAAACTATAATTATGCCTAAATCTAACAGTTTGTGTCACGATTCAGACCATATTCTGATGATTTAGTATTTAGGGTACTCTTCGCGTTTTATTGGTGATTCTGCATGATTTCCCAGAATTGCTTTGCGAGTATCACATTGTTATCTGTGATACTATACCACCGAACTGTGTTCAGTTACGCAACCTTGTACTTAGTGCTTACCCAAAAAACATGCGGCTACCTGATCCGTTTGGCTCAAATTTGAAGGTAACGTTTTCATGTGTCTTTTTGAAAACTGCTTTTCAATATTGACATTATACATAGTGTAAAATCAGTGTTCATTTTTATAGGTTGATAGCTTGCTAGAAATGACTCAAGAACCAAAAATGAATATCAATATGGCTGCAATCATTCCTCCTGATCTAAGAACGCAACTGGATGATTATTTAAATACTCGCTCATCTGTTGATTTTCATGCTAATTTGCCAAGTTTGTTGCAGGTAATCCTTCTTTCCACTGACCTTTTTGATGATTTGGTTCATGACCATATCTTTTGTCCATATTTTTCGAAGAATGAATACAATTTCAGGTTAGTAACATTGCTGGTTCGAAGTACAATACAACCGTCATGAATGCAGTTGTTATATATGTTGGAATGCGTGCAATTCAAGCAATCCATGAGAAACAACAATGCATTACAATGACTACAATCGCACACACAGCATATATGGATATTTTTCAGAATCTAGCAGTGAGCTTGTGTACTGAAGGTTCATTTTCCAGGATTTTGTTATTTACAAATATATTATTTACAAAGAAAAAAAAGTAGAGAATCTTGACAGTATAAGAGGCGTATTGTTAGCCTGTCTTTTTTCTTTTTTTTTTTTAATTCAAATTAAATTAAAGATTTAAATATGAAACAACTTCACTTCAGGACGGTATTTACTGTTCAACGCTATAGCAAATCAGCTGCGTTATCCGAACAGCCACACGCATTATTTCAGCTGCACCCTATTATATCTATTTTTAGAAGCAAATACTGAAGTAATACAGGAACAAATTACGCGGTAAGCATTTTCATGAAAGAATTGGTTGTTGACTCATAATACCGTGATTTTATCTGACAGGTCTTGTTTCATATCATCCATAGTTTTGTTGAGAATCCAGGTTTTT